ACGAGGAAGAGGGGGTTCCACCCGGCCATGTTTATTACCCCCCTCAACACATGACAACTCTCAACTTAGGTGACGATGCACCCTCAACATATCTTTTCTACAACCCTAACTACACAACAGAAGGGAAACTAAAGGAGGGTGACGAGTTTCGTACCAAAGAAGATTGTGTTCGGGCAATTAAACAATATCACACGGAGTTGTCAGCCGACTATAGAGTCGATCGGATGAATCCGACTCGGTATACGATCTATTGTAGTAACGAGGTGTGCCCATTCCAATTAACAGTGTCTTTCAGGAAGAGAAGTGATTCTTGGAAGATAGGGTCAACGGGTCCAGCCCACACTTGTATAATCTCGAATCTGATGCAGGACCATCGCAAGCTCAGCTCTCGATTGATTTGCGATGAGATTCTGCCAGTCATTAGCGACAACCCGTCTTTGAAGGTGAGTACCATAATTGCACATATGGTTCAAAGGTACAATTACACTCCTTCATACCGAAAAATATGGATTGCTAGGAATAAAACGGTTGAAAGGGTGTTCGGAAATTGGGAGGAGTCGTACAAGGAACTTCCAAAATTCTTGGTGGCTCTAAAACAATACTCTCCAGGGACTGTTGCCATATTGGAGACAATGCCAACGTGTACACCTTACGGGACTTGGGTTGGTGGAAATGAAATTTTTCATAGACTATTTTGGGCGTTTGAACCATGCATCAAAGGGTTTGCATATTGTAAACCTATAATTCAAGTTGACGGGACATGGTTATACGGGAAATATAAGGGCACCCTACTCATGGCTATGGTACAGGACGGGAACAACAACATTTTTCCAATTGCCTTCGCTATAGTTGAAGGGGAGACTGCTGGGGGTTGGAGCTTTTTCCTAAAAAATCTCCACCTATATGTTTCTCCCCAACCTAACTTATGTTTGATCTCTAATAGACACCCATCTATCGAGAGTGCATACAATAACCTTGATAACGGTTGGTAGGATCCTCCCTCGACCCATGTGTATTGCATAAAACATATCGTCCAAAATTTCATGAGGGAAATCAAAGACAAAACACTGCGGAAGAAGGTTGTCATCACAGAATATGCACTAACAGAGCCCACATTCAAACACTACCGTGACGAGATCAGACTAACAAACGCGGATGCACTAAGATGGATTGATAACATTGATAAAGAGAAATGGACACGGGCATATGACAATGGGGTGCAATGGGGCCATATGACAACTAACCTCATTGAATCAATGAATTTTGTTTTCAAGGGAATCCGAAACCTACCGATAACTGCCTTGGTAAAGGCAACATATTTTAGGCTAGGCGCACTCTTTGATAGTAGATGTACGAAATGAGGTTCAATATTACAATCTGGTTAGTTGTACAGTGATAGTTCAACATCATTCATGAAAGACGAAGCTGCCAAAGCCAACAGGCATGTGGTCACAATCTTTGACCGTAATAAAGGTTAGTTCAGTGTTGCCGAGTCGATTGATCACAACGAAGGAAGGCCTATGGGATGTTACCGTGTTGAACTGGATAAGAGCTGGTGTGATTGTGGGAAGTTTCAGGCATTTTGTATGCCTTGCTCTCATGTTATAGCAACATGTTCGAAGGCGCGACAGGACCCAACCAACCTTCTTTCTGCAGTACACCAAGTGATAAATCTATACAATGTCTACACATGTAGCTTTCAGGTGGTGGCAAAGGAGGACTATTGGCCTCAATACGAAGGCAAAATTTTCTGGCATAATGACTTGATGCGTAGAAAGAAAAAGGGTCGCCCTAACAACACGCGCATTCGAACGGAGATGGATACCGCAAACAAGATGGTAAGATTATGTAGTTCGTGTCGGCAACCAGGAGACAATCGTACAAAATGTCCTAACGTAGAATCAAACAGCAGATCATAGTTTCATATGTAACCGTGTCTCTTTAAATCAATAGCAAATTTTATTCCATTTAAAGCATACTTAACCGATTATAATTAGCAAGTAACATAAATTAAACAAACATAACTTAATATCACAATAACATTCCGAAAATAACAACAACATAAAGACATAAAACAGAACAATGCACCAAGGCGTCTACGATATCACAATCATCAACGTTATCTTCTTTGGTGTTAACATCATCACAAGGATACCAACATCATTTTCCACTTTTCTCCATTCACGAGTAACTCCGTTTCTCCCAGCCTCCTCGACCAACCTCTCATTTTTCCTAATCTTTTCTCCTGGAGCAATATCTCCTTCTAGCCAGCGGTTCAGTTTCCTATGCAAATGCTTCAACGTCTGCGTATTCCACAGGAGCACCTTCATCAGAGGCTTTGTTGCTGAAAAAAAAACTAGGGCATTTCTTTTCATTAGAGGAAATGTTGGAAAGGGTTCCTCCAATGTTGATGACGACGACGAAGAACGTTGATTTAGAAATGCATACATTCTAGACTCCACTCCACTCAAAATTATTAAGACTTCAGTCTTTTGGTATACAATGTTGTGGAAACATATATGTGTTTGCAGTCGTATTTATAGAAAAATAAAATAGTACGTGCCCCATATGATATGTCTTAAATACCCTTACAAATTTTATATACTTTTTTTCAACAAATACCAACATTTTTCAACGAAATATATAAAAATATCAAAATTCAAATGTGACCTACTATTATATATTTTAAATTTATATATTTAATTATATACTAATTATATTTTAAAAATATATGTTAATCATATATTTATTATGTTTTAAAATTTATACTTATTTATATTTATTATGTTTAAAAATTATATACAATTATATTTATTATTTTATAAAACTATATCATAAAAACTATATTTATTGTTTGATAATTTAATCCACTTATTTGTGATATAGTTTACAACAATATTAATTATTAAACAAAAAATATAAAAATATAGTTTAATAAAAGCAATGTAAAAAAAAACTATATTCATTGTCTCATAAAAACTATATTTAATTGTATTAATAATTTAATTGTTTCATAAAAGCAATGTAAATATATTTAGTTTATGATATATTTTATAAAGCTATATTTATTGTTTCATAAAAATTATATTACAAAAAATATTTTAAAAAAATATAAAAGAAAATAAAATTAAACTAAAAATTGGAAATGGACAAAAAAAGAAAAAATAAAGTGACTGGCCTGTTTCGCCAATTGGCGAATATGTTGAAAGTCTTAAACCAATTCGCCAATTGACCTGACGACATAGTACAGATAGTACAGATAGAGTGCATTCGCCACCTCAATTGATGACCCAAGATTGAAATATGACAACTTTGATAAATTTTTTGAAATTCTTATTTGTTTGACATTTTTTTTAAATAACATGGTTATATTAAAAAAAAAATCTGAGTCTTAACTTTCAATATTACAACATTAATGTAACATTAATGTAGTAATTGTTTAATTATAATCATATTAAAAGTAGTTTAATTATTATTTAATTCAGTCTAATTTTGAATATCTCATTACATTAAAAGTTGTTTAATTTTTCTTTAATTTTATTATAAAATGAAATGTAATCAAATTAATGAGATTACATGATAATTAAATAATTTTTAATCCGATGAGAATTAAATTATTGTAATATTAATATTGTGGTATTGAAAAACTACTTTATTTTTAATTTTTTTTCCTATTTTTGCTTTCAAACTTAGTTATTTTATTTGTAGTTTTATTTAAATTATATATATATATATATATATATATATATATATATATATATATATATATATATATATATATATATATATATATATATATATATATATATATATATATATATATATATATATATATATATTTATTTATTTTTAAACAATTTCATAAAATATTTCAATTTTTTATTGGTAAAAGTTGTTAGATACTTCATTTTTAATTTAATTCTTTTTAAATAATTAATTTTAATAGTACTTATTAAATTATATTATTAATAATTAAAATATAAATAAATAAAATAAACATAAAATAATTGAAAAAAAATAGTGTAGCACAATTGATTATTTGCACGTGATGGCAAATGTTTTTCTTTTTTTACAAGCAAATTTTGAATTAAGAATATCCCAATCCAATTACAAAAACTACAAGAGAGGCCAAGCTACTCAATTCAAAAACAAAAACTCTGAAAATAACACCAATCAATCCAAAAGAACTCCTTACCATTACAATGAGTCATAACAAACCACTTCCAAATTTAAAATTTGATCAAATTAATCAACTCCTTAATATCAACATATACACATTTAAAAAGAACTTTATTTCTATAGAACCAAATAAACCAACAGGTTCAAGACCACACAACTAGCATAATTTACTAACCATAATGGATCCCAAACCTTTCTTTAATAAATTAAATTATTTTATTAAGTTTATAATGAGATATATATCTCATCACACCTCAACCACATACAGACAAGCTGCCAATGATTCTGATTGGCACTTATACACAAAATACATTTTTGTTTGAAGTGAAGTTTTAATAATAATGGAAAAAGTGATGTATTATGAAAAAATTATGTGAAATGAGAAAAAAGTTTACGTTAGTCTGAGAATCAAAATAAAGTTTCAAAAAATAATAATAGTACAGTGACATAAGATTCACATTATTTGCCATTGTTACTAGTATCACTACCACAGTACACAGTAGAGTTACCCTATTTAGTTTATATTTTATCATAGTTACTTTTTACCGCCCTAGGTAGTTTTTATTTTACCATAGTTACTTCATAGAGAGTTTGTTAGAAATCTTACCACAGTTACGTTTTATTTTCTAGAGTTAGTTAGAAATCTTACCATAGTTACTTTTTTAGAGAGTTTGTTAGAAATCTAACCGTAGTTACTTTTTATTTTTTACAGAGTTTGTCAGGAATCTTACCATAGTTAGTTATTACAGAGTTTGTTATACCTATATTTCATTTACAAGCATTAAAGCAAGAATTGGAGTTGAAAAACAGAGAGAGAAATCATGAGTCGTGGAAACCAAAACCAGGTTAGCGATCCATCTTCTTCTTCCTTCTTCCGCTATTTTCTTCTTCTTCCTTCTTCCGCTATTTTCTTCTTCTTCCTTCTTCCGCTATTTTCTTCTTCTCTGAAACTACAATGCAACGCATGTTGATACGTCTTTAGCATTTTTGTTACGATATAGCAATGATCACTTGTTTCAACACTCTACTGTAGATTTTGATTTTGATTTTGTTTCTGATGTTGATTTTGATTCTTATTTTGATTTTGATTTTAAGTTTTTGCTTCTAATGTTAGTGATTAATCGAAGGATCTAACAAATTTAATGTTTCTGCTATCAGCTAAAGTAATCTATTGCATTTTTATTTCTCTCTTCAATGCAATGTATGATGAAATGTTTTTACCATTTTTCTTTGAAAACACACTGAGTAAAACGTTACGACTTTTTTCGATTTAAAAATGCAGTTTCATACTTTTCGCCTCTCCTTTGGCGGTGGTTTTGTGTATTCGCTGCGGCTGTTCTGTGTATGTGATTGATTAGCATTTTTATTATGATAAAGCAATGATCATTTGTTTGAACAAACTAGAGTAGCTTTTGATTTTGATTTTGATTTTGAGTTTTTACTTCTAATGTTAGTGATTAATGGAAGGATCTAACAAATTTACAGTTTCTAAGTAATTTATTGTTTGTTTTTAGCATTTTCATTTGAACACACGCTGAGTAAACGTATTCACCACGGTTCGCGGTTCTGTGTGTGTAATTGATTGGCTTTCAACTTCTTTTTAGTTTATTTTGATTTGTTTGTTAAAAAAGTTATACGCACTTTGCTATGTTTAACTTTTCCTAATATTAGAATTTAGATCCTCTTTTAGGCATTAAGAATTTACTATTTACACAAAGACTTCTCCTTAAAATAAATTAAAAAATGTCACAATTAATTTGTTTATTTGCTTATAGATTGATATAAATTTAATTGTGAGTAATTAATTTTCTTATATATGCTTATAATTCCAACTATGAATGTTTATTTTTAAGTTAGTTCAATATTGTGATGTTTGTTTCTTACACATGCACAATACATATTTGCTCACTCACACACAACTTCTCATTTAATTTTCAATATACAGATGGTGATTGTCACAGATCCACTTGAATTGTTTTTCTTGCTTTTCTTCGTTTTTGGAAATCTTCTACATAGTTTTGACAATCATTTGTGAACTCTAAAGTTCTATTTCTTATTTGCAGCGATTTTATACCCTTCGGTTTGATGGTGCATGCAGGGGAAATCCTGGACCAGCTGGTGCAGGAGCTGTACTGTTTGATAAAGATGGGAGTGTGGTATTAAACTCATGCAACAATTCAATTACATTATATTCTTTAAGATGTAGCTTACTCATGTTTTTGTTCTCCGGCAGCTGTATAATTTTCGCCAAGGGCTCGGATATACAACAAACAATGTTGCTGAGTATCGCGCATTAATTTTAGGACTGCAACAAGCAATAATGAAAGGATGTAACAACATCAAAGTCCAAGGAGACTCCCTGCTTGTTATCAGTCAGGTTTTTTTCTTTCTTTCTATTTTTTAGTATACAGGAAGACAGAAAGCTTTATTTCATTACTTAAACTTAAATGTGCATTTGAGTGTTGATAACATGAAACAGTTCAATTGTTCACAAAATATTGCACGCTGATTTGAGAATTCTAACTTATCACACGATTTCTTCAATAACAACCGAAGGAACTATTCCCTTCATTTAGTTTCATATCCGTCCTAATTGGTCTGATATTGTTTAAAATTTACCCCATGGCTACTGTTCACTTAGTATACATTTTTCTTTTCTAACAGTTTCAAGGTTCCTATACAATTAACAACCCGCGTCTAAGGAGCTTGTGTAATGAAGCTTTGGAGCTGAGCAATAACTTTCGCCCATTTAAGATCGAACACATTTCTAGGGTATATATTTAGCAATTTGGTTAGTAATGTTGCCGCAGTCTCAATTGGGTATTGCTTTATAAAGATTTGTTAACTTGCATGCCTGTCTATGAATGCTATAGAGGAAGGCATTTCCAAATGCTTGAATAACTAAATTATGATGAATAGAAGCTCGGCATCCTAGTTATTTTTCTAGAGATCACGTGCACCAATGACATTAGGTTCTTAAATTATATGAATGTTTACTTTCAGCTCTGATTAATTTTCTCTGGGATTTTTATATTACAATTACTTATGTTTTTGCCTAAGTTAACAAATAACATGTTTCTAACTTTTTTTTTTAATTGTTTAAAGGTCTATAACACTATAGCTGATGCCCAAGCAAACCTAGCCATTAATCTCCAAGGTTAGACTTCAAGACTTTTCTGAATTCCCTATAGGTTTCAATTAATTTATCATTCTCTGATTTCCTAATAATTGAGAATTCAATTCAATTGCAGCCAAAGCTGCTTTGAAATCAAAAGCATCTTTGGTTTGTTCTTGTTCTTGGTTTTTGATTTCAATTGATATATTTTTCTTTACATAGCTTTTTGAAAAACAATATTTTGAACAATCTGTTTATAGATTGGCATAAGATTATAATTTTTCATATTTGTATTTGGCAGGGAACATAAAATTTAATGGATTTTAAACTGTTTTGCAGAAGGTCAAGTTGAAGAAGATTGTTTCTATTAATGATCATCTTGAAAGCATATGCCACCCTTAAAACTATTGGCAACTATGTTACATTTCTGTCTAGCAATTTAACATGTCAAATGTTGTTTGCAATATTGTCAATTTGAACGTTCCCTATTAGCACCTTAGGATCATAACTCTGAATTTCTAGTTTTTGCGTTCTTTAAAACAATTTTATATGTAATTATATGTCAGTCTGATGATCACCATTCCTATAAGAGTGTGTTTTGGTCGAAATATTTTAACTAGTAAAAATAATTTTTGAAAGAATTTAAAAATGATTGGACTAAAATTCATTGTTTGGATAAAAAATATAGAAAATTGTTAAAATGATTTAAATTTGTGAAGTATTTTATTTAATTTAAATTTAAGAAATTTCAAATAACACCAAAAATTAAAGAATTTGAAATTACTCATTAATTCTATATCATGCAATTGTTAAATTGTTTATTATTTATTTTTTAAATTCTGCAAGATGGTCCTTATATTTTATGAAAATTTTATATTTACCTCTAAAGTTTTCTAAAAATTGTAAATAAGTTCCTAAAATTTTTCAAATTAGTCCATTTAAATTTTCAAAAGTTACAAATTGATTTGTATTTTTCATATTTTAAATTTGGCTCAAAAATTGTAAAATTTATGAAATAATCTTAAAAATTTAATAATGAATAATTTTAATACTCTATCCAAACAAAAAAATTAAAACAAATGAATTTCAGTTAAATTATTTAAATTGTTTAAAATTTTAAAATCCTTAAAAAATCTCGATTATTTCATCCAAACACGAGTG